TGCACATACGGTATATGGAAATATTTTGTGAATAGTAAAAAAAGTTGACTTTGGTGCTCAAAAGGTTAATGATATGCAAATTACCTAATTATTATGCACATACGGTATATAAACTATTTTGTGAATGGTGACAAAAGTTGACTTTGGCACTCGAAGGGTTAATGATATGCAAATTGCCTAATTAGTATGCAGATATAGTATATAGAACTATTTTGTGAATGGTGACAAAAGTTGACTTTGGTGCTCAAAAGGTTAATGATATGCAAATTGCCTAATTAGTATGCAGATATAGTATATAGAACTATTTTGTGAATGGTGACTTTGTGACTGACGTTCTAAGGGTTAATCTTTGTGGTTGAACATTTGAAAGAATTTAAACAAGAAATCATTCATACAGATGACAGAATGTAATTTATTTTGAGTTTGCTTATAGAATAATAAATATATTATACTGGTATATAAAAAAAAATTTTTGCTGCAGTTTCGCACTGTACAACTTTGATTGATTATTTGCTTTTTCATATGTGCATATATTTGAGATTACGAAACAAAAAATTCTTTTTTTTGTAATTTAAATTTGTATTCGACAAGCCTTTGTAGGTTTGACTTTATTCATTTGACCTTTGTAGATGATACTAAAGTTACTCTTTTATATCAATAAAACAAACACCACAAATAATAATGGCGATCTTAACCGTTTATTCCCCTCATGTTATTTTCACCTTTATTCACTCTATTTCTGTGCATATATTGACTGTCATTTTTATTTTCATTCAGGGTGCATCAAATGAACTTTTTTTTGGGCCGATGAAAGTATCACAGCCACCAGTCCAGGTAAGTTGTCATGGTAACAACTGAATGAGGGGCGTGCTTATACTATAATATGTTTGGATATTTAGAGTAATAACAAATTCCCACTTCCGTTCTGGTTAGACTTAAAATACACCACGAATATTCACTTTTGAGATATAAATTTTGATATGTGTTGGTTCTTGGATATTTCAGTTTTGTCGTCCTGTACTTCGTTTAGTAATTTTGACTTCCCAGATTGTGTAAAAACAGATAGTTTAGCAATTTTGACATAGAAAATGCCTGGGCTAAATCATTTACTTTATATATAGGTATGTGCACTGTAACTTACAACACATGAACCTAAAAGCGTAAGGTAATCAAACAAGAAATGACGTATTAATGTACATAAAATAAGTTCAAGGTCTTCACTTTTTCATAGCATAAAAACAATTGGCGTCCTCACTTATTGCGACACCCTCAAATCTAGTCATTTCCATTCCCCTCAAAAGTCAACAATGGTTTAGTCCCCTATTTTGTGCTACCACTCAAAACTGTTTTTTATGCTTCACATGTTTATTTGCCTTCAATTACGTTTTTGTGGTCGTCACTGTTGTCTCTGGAATCTTGCCGATAACGTTTTGGTTCCAAATTACATAACTATCGCAGAGGAAATTCAAAAAATTGCAAATGGCGAAGGCCATTAGTTTAACAATGTTTTTACCTTTGTCGCCATGTTTATTTCACAATTCACCTCACAAATCTTTCTTTCCTGGGCGCCTCTAATAAATCTAACAATTAATCTAACTGCTGGGCTGAATTAATGACATAACCAAAATTCATAGCAGATTGGGCGAAAATTGGTTGTTTTTGACTTCGACCTTTTTTACTTGGAAACGCAAGTGCGATAAGACTAGATTTTCAAAGACGCAGGTCATTTCAATCAGACGGTTTGTTAGCCAGGAACATAACCTGCTGTTTTGGTTACCGGTGGTAACATAGAACATGTTCCATTCAAGGATTTTGATGTTCCAATCCATAGACATGTATTTTTATGGTCTATGGCCAATTTTAACAATTCCTCACAGGAATAGATAGACCTCTACTGAAAATGAACTTTGTGTTCAGCGCGTCTTACATTGTAGATATGTTCATGTCACTGTACGTAAAGACACTTGAGCGTTTTGAGGATAGTGGGAATAGAAGCAAATAGATGGAAATACATCACTCATAAAGATTGAATTTTCGATTACTGGCCGGGATAGCCGTATTTAGTGTTCATTTCAATGCAATCTGTCCATACTCGCCGTCCTCAATTTCTATGTGATCGCTGCTGTGGACGGCGATGGACGACAGAATGCGATAGACAGCTGACTTTTAGCTTTATTATTTTATTCAGGAAGGCCCTGAAGGTAGCGTCATCATACAGCACTGATGAACAAAATTCACACTACAATCTTATGCTTCCGAACAATCCGATCTTAATGCTGGTCGGTAAACAAAATAATTGTTTGACTTTTGTTGCAGATTTTAATCCCTCTTATAGAATATTATTTGTTGTAAACTGTTTAATTTTTACTGCCTGGAATATTCGTTAGTTGAGAATTTTATATCATTCATGAAGAAAAACCTTTGCTGAAGTCATAAATACACTGTTAAAAAACCTGTTATCTCAGAAAATTTATTTAAAAGTGATTTATCTTCCACCTGTTGCATTTAATATGACTTGAAACTCAAAAATCCAATCTACTGGATGTTTGCAAGGTCTGAATAGTTTTCAATAAAAATCTGCATATTTATTAGCATATTTGCATAATTTTCAGTGCAACTTTAGTTTCAGAAGGAACTTGAGTTGTCAGATTGTGAGAATACTATTATCTGGTTGTTATTTGATACAAATGAGTGCATATATTACCGGTAACAACATTTGCATAACTTTAATTATAATTAGGCTTTTAGTCAACCTGTCTGTCTGTCTGTCATTAGACAGTCACTCCACATTTTCGACAGGTACCCAATTTCATTTGACAGGCAGAATTTTTACAAACCTGTCCAATTTTGATTGAAAATTACTGTAAATTATAAAATAATCTTATATAATCAACAAGAAATTGATTTTAAGTCTATAATTACAGACAAGCCACTGCTATTTTTCATTTTGATCAAGTTTTTAGACAGGTACAATGTACTTTTTATTTTTTGGCTATAACTCTGATTATCATGCATTAAACGTTCTTTACAGTCAGTGAAGATACGATCTTATTTCCACTAACGAAAAACATGGGAAACGTTTTGACTCGTACATACATAAATACATTCGCTATTTAATAGATATAAATAATTTTGTTTTTGGCCATTCTTTAACTCTGATTATATCATGCATTAAACAGTCTTTACAGTCAGTGAAACGTTTTGACTCGTACATACATAAATACATTCGCTATTTAATAGATATAAATAATTTTGTTTTTGGCCATTCTTTAACTCTGATTATATCATGCATTAAACAGTCTTTACAGTCAGTGAAACGTTTTGACTCGTACATACATAAATACATTCGCTATTTAATAGATATAAATAGTTTTGTTTTTGGCCATTCTTTATATGTATCGTCTTGAAAGCCAAAATCAAGACTATTTCCATGGTCCACACCAGAATTACTACTATTGTATTTTGTTTATAAGTTTTGTAATAATGGTCATTCTGGTGAAATAAATAAAAAATAAAAATAAAATAGATTGGCGTTGATGCGAGCATTGGTAATCTCAGATAATTATTTTAAAATTTGTAAAAGTACAGTTTTTCGACATTAATATATTTACTTGTGAAGTAATGTTTGGTGAACTTGCATTTTTTTTTTTTAAACAATCCAACACTTGCTACAATAAATCAGAGCTATTTTGACTATCGTGTTATAGACCTGTTTTTATTTTATTATCATTCTTACAATCTTATACAGTACTCGACAGAATACTCGATTGTGTGAAGTATTATGTTGTGAATTGAAAATGCCGACTGTAAGTTTTAACTGCTGAGTAAAAACCTATAATGCAACATTAAATAATGGCCCAGTTCGATAGAAATATACCGGTAGTTGAAACTGCTGATATGGCATGTATAGCTCTGGTGGGTTCGTAGATTTACCTGTACTAAAATTTATTATTTGGTTAAACCCTTACTTGTGTGCACTCCAGTATTTATCTCTGTGCCTTTATGTACTGTTGAAGTGTGTTTTTTTTTTCTGTAAAAAAATACATTAACAGTTCATGCCATTAGCGTTGAGTGTACATGTAAGAATAAAGTGAAATGGTAACCATGGGTCTCTTTCATGACCTCTGAAGGGTCATACATCCTGGTATTTTCGTTATTTTTATTTATTTTATCAATATTTGAGCGTAATTTCCAAGATTTGATTATTTGTTTTAGTTACTTGAGTAAAATTTTAATGTTAGGAACAGAAATATACATCAAAATGTGTATGTTTGTGATGTTGTCATAGCAACAAAAGTACCAGGATGTGTGACCTTTAGGGGTCATGAAAGTGGTCTATTTATCTGTTATTATTCTTATGATGATAAAAATTAAAAAAAAAAAAGTATTCATCAGTTTTGGTTCAAGCCTAGCATGACTTTGATTTGGAGTAATATTGTGAGTACAGTTTCTAGACTGGAGTATCACCATGGAAACACCACAACAATGCTATGGGTGATAATTAGAAGAACAGATTATTCCCGGTAATGAGAACTGTGTAATATTGTGAATTAGTTAGTTTCACTTTGAATGAAGTGGATTTTCAGCAGAAACAATAAAAATGCAATTCTCTGTAACTCCCATTAATCATTACAATAAATAGTTAAATTTTACTTACATTTTGATCACCTCCTAGCATTCACAG